TTTTATTTTTTTTTTAATTTTTTTTTATTTTTATTTTTATATTTTTTATATATTTTTTTTTTTCATTTTATTTTTATATTTTTTTTTTCATTTTTATATTTGTTTAATTTAATATTTTTTCTTAATTTTTTTTAAATTTTTATTTAAATTTTTTTTTAATTTTTTTTTTATATATATTTTTTTAGAATAATCTCTCTCTCTCTCTCTTTAGATCTTATTTGGATCTTTAGAACTTATCAATAAGTGAATTAATTTCTCCTTCTTGTTCTTTTTGGATTAGATAAGCTTCTTTGAAAATATTTACTAATATTTCTCTTTTCTTTTTTTTTAGGACTGGCTTTCTTTGGAATCTTAGAAGCCTACTAATAAGTGAATTTCTTCTTCTTGGATTTGGTGGATTTTTTTGAGAACATTTACTAATATTCTTTTTCTCTCTTTTTTCTCTTTTTAGAACTAGCTTTCTTTGAATCTTGGAAACTTACTGATAAGTGAATTTCTTCTTCTTAGATTGGGTGGACTTCTTTAAGAATATTTACTAATATTCTTTTTTTTTCTCTTTTAGGACTGGCTTTCTTTAGATCTTAGGAACCTACTGGTTAATGAATTCCTTTTTCTTAAATAGAGTAAACTCTTTTGAAAATGTTTACTAACATCTTTACTAATATCGCAAAAGTCTAAAAGTCTAAAATTTTAAAACTTAGTGATAAACTATTTTTAAGAAAAAATAATTTTTTTTTATTTTTAATACTTTTTTTAAAATAATTAATTTTGATTTTTTTTTTATGATTTTGATTTAAATAAAATAATATATAAAACTTAAATATAATATAATTTAAAATAAATTTTTTCTTTATTTAAATATTTATAAATTAATTAAATTTTAACTCAAAACTTGATTTGAACTTGACTTAACTCAAATAAATTCAAATCAAAATCAAATTGAGTTAAACTCAAGTTAAGTCAAATTGAGTCAAGTTTAAAATTTATATAACTTGAATCAAATCAAGTTATAAGATTTTATAAAATAAAGTCGACTTGACTCAATTTGAAAAAAATGAGTCAAATAGAATTGATCTTTAAATTTAACTCAACTCAACTCATTTGAAACTCTATTCAGATCAAATAATCATCATTCTTAAATGATATTTTATCGTTCAATTAGAACAATTTGTTATCATTTTTGAATAATAGTTTTATCATTTGAGAATGATGTTTTATTGTCTGAGAATGATATTTTATCATCTGAGAATGATGTTTTATTGCCTAAGAATGATAGTTTTATCATTCAATTAGAATAATTCATTATTATCTAAGAATAATAGTTTTATCATCTGAAAATGATGGTTTTATCATTTAAAAACAATGGTTTTATCGTTCAAAAATGATATTTTATCATTCAATTAGAATGATTTCGTTATCATTCAAAATATGGTTTATCATTTAAGAATAATAGTTTTATCATTCAAGAATAATAATTTTATCGTTTAAGAATGATAGTTTTATCGTTCAAAAATAATAATTTATCATTTGAGAATGATAGTTTTATCATTCGAGATCTATGATTTTATTATTCAAAAATGATGATTTATCATTCAAAAATGATAGTTCTATCATTCAAAAATTATGTTTTATAATTCAATCAGATCAGGTTAGGTCAGGTCAGATCAAATAAAAATTTAAATCAGATCAGATTTTTGTTTGACCTGACTTGATCCTCTCAGTTCAGGTAACTTGATTAACCTGATATAAACTGATCTGTTCAGAGCTCTAAGAATATTATAAAATTTATCATGAAAAATAACTTTAATTATTACAGTTTTTATAATTTATTAAGAAATTTTATGACTTTTATTAATAATAAAATGATTCAATTAGTTTGCAAATATATGAATTTTAAGAAAATTTTTAAAAAATTATTATAATAAATTTTTTAAAACTTAATTTTAAAAATTGAATTATTTAAAAAACTTCTTAATAAACTTAAATTTCTTCTAATAAAGTTGATAAAATATATATTAAACTATATTTTTTATATAATAATTATATTATTAACATTAATATTTTATTTTTTATTAAAAAATTAATACTTTTTTTTATGTTTGCAGGCAAATTTGCCTGTATTACAGACAAAGAGATAATCTTATGAATTCAGCTTTTCATTTTTAAAATAGATATAAATAATGGATGTAAGGATAATTCTTTAAATATAGAAATATCTATCCAAGTATAATGAATGACATTTTTAATTGTTGCGATAAACATATGATTTTTTGATTCAATAATAAATGTTAATCTCATGTTTTCCATAAAACCTTCAGATTGGTTGAGCTAATTTATAATTTTTTCAAATTAGGATCATCAAATTATGTATCCAATAAAATTATAATGAATTTAATGAATTTGTAATTCAATGTTTTTGTGCGAAAAAACCATCTAAATAAAGATCTTTTTTTATTGGATGATTAAATTAAAAATTCATTTTAAAATCAAACTATTATGTCATTAAATCAAAGATTTTGATTTTTTTTTTTTGAAAGTTAAACAGAAAAAAAAGTATATAAATGGCTGGCCGCTTTCTTTTTTGCAATGGACTTGTTCAGAAATAATCCAGAAATAAAATCAATCACTACAAACGCCTTAGTATCATTGTAATCATGGTTATGAAAGTTGGAATTAACGGGTAATTGCAACTTTGTCATTGGATCGATAATCACGTGATAACGTCATTAACACTCACCTTCCTACTTATAGGTTTGGAAGAATTGGACGGTTGGTTCTTCGTATCGCCCAAAATTATCCCGATATCAAGATAGTAGCCATCAATGATCCATTCATTGACCTTGATTACATGGTAATGATTAATGATATTTTTATTTTCGTGACGTGTGCATCCAATTTGTTAATTGACTATCGCTATATTAGGCTTATTTGTTTAAATATGATTCTACATATGGAAGGTTTAAAGGAGATGTCGAAGTAAAGAGCGGAAAATTATTTATTAATGAAAGTGAAATTAGTGTATTCACCAAGAAAAATCCCGAAGAAATTCCTTGGGGTCAAGTTGGAGTTAAAATCGTTGTGGAATCCAGTGGTGCTTTCACTTCCACCGAGAAATCATCTGCTCATCTTAAAGGTGGATATGTATATTCATATCAATGAGAGAATATATTAATGAATTATCATGTGTAAAATATTAAATTTTTTTTTTTTTTATTTATAATAGGGGTTTGTGATATTTTTATAAATTTAATCATTCCAAGCGAGGACCATTTTACTAAACGAATTTCAATTCACTTTTTGATCGATAATTATACAGGGCGCCGAGAAGGTATGAATACATACATATATAGATAGATAAATGATGCTTTTTTCCTCATTCACCTTTCTCGTACATGTTATATAGGTGGTTATAACGTCACCGGCAGATTCTCCAATGTTTGTCGTAGGAGTTAACACGGATCTATATAAGCCAGAATATAAAATTGTTTCCAACGCGTCATGCACAACAAATTGTTTATCACCTTTAGCCAAAGTAATTCAAGATAACTTTGGCATCATAGAAGGATTGATGACAACAGTTCACGCCACTACGGCCACACAAAAAACTGTTGATGGACCTTCCGAAAAGGATTGGAGACGTGGTAGAGGAGCATCACAAAATATTATACCAAGTTCAACAGGAGCAGCCAAAGCTGTTGGTAGGGTGATTCCTGAATTAAACAAAAAATTGACCGGTTTGGCCTTTAGGGTTCCGCCTACTATCGTTTCTGTATTAGATTTAACTGTTAGATTGGAAAAAGAAACAAACTACGAAGAAATTAAACAAGCCATTAAACGCGCTTCGGAAAATGAATTGAAAGGTGTATTGAGTTACACTGAAGATGACGTCGTTTCTTCGGATTTTATTGGCGATTCTCATTCTTGTATTTTTGATGCGAAAGCTGGCAAGTAATCAATTTTTTCTTTCACACACACACATATATATATTTTTAAAGGAAAAATTTGATAAACTTGAAGGAATTCATCATTTATAATTGAACTTTTTTTTTTTTTTTTTTTTAGGAATTCAATTAAGTCCTACTTTTGTTAAACTTGTTGCTTGGTACGATAATGAATGTAAGTTTTTTTTTATTACTAAAAACTTTATTTTCATATTAACATAACATATTAATGCTTTCAATATATATTTTACTAGATGGGTATTCTACGCGCGTTTTGGATTTAATTATTCACATGTTAAAAGTAGATGGTGCCATAGCATAATTATTGATTTACCCAAATTAGTAAACGTATACATATTCGGTTAAAATCATTTTAAATTTAAATATATATTCAGTAAAGATTGTTTTGATTGTTTTGTTGCATGAAGTAATATTTATGGGTCATTTCCTGTCAACCGACTTTATAAAGAAAAAAAAAATTTAAATTACTTGATTTCGCAATTTTCGAATGAGCATAATTCTTTTTACTTTCGAGCTTCCGTGCTTTTTAGGTTCGAAGAGCTTTCTTGTCAGGATTTTAAACATGTTACGCATCTCTTGTATTCGCACTTTGATATTGACTGCGACTTTTTAACTAACAAAAGAATTAGAGTTCATTTAGTCAAGTGTATAAGTATTTTCTCCGACACATTTTGAAAGTCGCAAGAATTATATACATTGCAGTTGCAGTCGTTTTAATGAAACTAAATTTGTAGAACAAGTAAAAAAAAAAATGTTCTTTTTCAAATTCAAGAAATTCGTTTGCTAAAAAAAGGTAACCCGTTAATAGGTATGCAAGCGTTGCCAACCAAGTGACCTAGCCCATGATTTTTTATGAAAAAGGTTAGTTTTACTCTAAAAATATACAAATTAATTATTAATTAGATATGAATTTCCGGAATTGATGAATTGATTAAAATTTCTGGTTTTAAACATGTTATAAACCTGATCAATATTATATATATACGTATAAATAAATATAAATCAACCCAAAAATTTCTTCACATTAAAAAAAAAAAAATGCATCGGTTTATTTACGGTTCTAATACAAGATCATTATCGAACCTTTTACGAATACATTCCTCTCGGATCAAAATTTATATTCAAAGTAGATATAAAAGTTCAAAAATAAATCCTAAAGATCAAAAAGGGTACAGTACAATCAGTGATACCACATCGTCAACGTCATCATTACCATCTCAAGACATTCCAACATCTAGCAGTTGTGATATTACTTCGAGTTTCCGTATCCCTTTAGATCAATCGAATTTAAAACCATCCTCTTCATCATCACCACCTCAAGAAGCAGAAGCTTCTAACCCAAAGTTTGAACAAGTGGAACAAAAATTTCATCAACTTCAACAAGAAGCAAAAACAAGAGAATTATGGTCACAAAGCGTAGATTATACGAGTAGAATCATGTTTACTCGACCAAAAGAAATCTATGATTTTATTATAATCGGGGCTGGTAGCGCAGGATGTGTATTGGCCAAAGAATTAATTCATTCCTTGCCTAATATAAATGTATTAGTGTTAGAGGCCGGACCGCCTCATGCTCAAATTAATGATCGTATTTGTTCAGTTTTCTCTCATGCTAGTGTAAGTATTATATGAATACTTTTTAGATTTAGATTTATTTTTATTTTTTTAAAAAAAAGTCATCTTTCTAGGTTTGGAAAACATTAGAAGTTGATTGGGGATATTTTACGCAACCACAAACTATACAAAGTTGTATGGATCCAAGTAAAACGTTGAACATGGGATCATTTATATATCCGAGGGGAAAAGTGTGGGGAGGTTGTAGTAGCGTTAATGCAATGATATATATAAGAGGTCATCAACTTGATTATGAGGAATGGGCATCACAAGGTCCTGATTACAAGAAATTTTGGAATTGGGATAAATGTCTTGAAGGTAAATTAAAGGAAAGAGGAAGAATCATTTAACTTAATAAGATTTATAACATTTTAATTCTTTAATTTATATTTAGCATTTAAAGCGATAGAGAATAATCAAAGGAAAGAAAAAGATGATGAATTTAAATATTATCACGGACAAGACGGATTGTTACATGTAGAAGATTATCTTGAAACCTTTGATATCTTAAATGATTCAATTAAAGCTGCTATACAATTTGGTGTACCATTTAATAAAGATTTTAATGGATCCAAACAAAATGGGGTAGGAAAATATCAGGTAATAGCGATTCGTATATATTCCTTTATTAATAAATTTTATAAACGATTTAAAGGTTGCTTTTTTAAAAAAAATAAATAGTTAACTTCCAAGAATGGACAAAGGTCTTCATTTGCAAATGGGTTTCTTAATGATGCATTAAATAAGAGAACATTAACATATCCTCCTTTTAAACCGCTTGGAGAGCCATATGGTTCTTCACATGGAATAGGAAAAATATCGGCTGTTAATGTTAAATCTACCTCTCACGTATTAAATATACTTTGGGATGATGATAACTTTTCGACCATTGAGGAAGGGAAAAAGAACGTCGCTAGAGGTGTCAAATACTTTTATCAAGGTTGCTTACACGAAGCTTATGTTGCACCCAAAGGAGAAGTAATTCTTTGTGCTGGGGCTATTAATAGTCCTCAAGTAATTATATTTACATATACATATATGTATTACATATTTTAAAGGCTTCATTTTAAATTAAAATTCAATTTCTTTCTCATTCGTTAGATATTAATGTTGTCAGGAATTGGGCCCAAAAAACAATTGAGTTCTCATAATATTGATGTGAGAAAGGATTTACCCGTTGGTAATAATTTATTAGATCATCCATTAGGATACGTTACAATACGAACCGAAGTACCAAATTCTACCATGAATACAACATTACATGAATGGTCAAGCGGAACGGAAGTTGGAATGTTTTTTAAAGCTAACGACAAGGGAAGATTACCATCTCGCGATGAATTATTACACGATCGTCCAGATATTCAATTAACTGGTAAAATGTCTCGGTTATTTTTTCCCCCCTTTTAAAGTGCTAAATTTTAATAAAAAAAATAAATTTTGTTAGCTGCATCTACTATATGGGATCCGAAATTAATGGCATATACAGAAGATGCGATAACATTAGCACCTGTCTTGAATAAACCAAAAAGTGTTGGGCGGTTAGAATTGACTAACTCAAATCCGTTTCAACAACCCAAAATTTATTTGAATTTTTTGGATAAAGCTGAAGATATATATAAATTGATTAGCGCATTAAAAGTAACTTTAGAACTACTAAAACAACCAGCTTTAGCTAAATGGAAAGTTAAAGAAATTGGATTGAATGACGAATATTCTGACGTACGAAAGGAAATTAAGAAGAAAATGAAACGTAAAGAGGAGATGAATGATGATGATTGGGAGGAATTTCTCAGTAAAAACGTAATATCGTAACAACTTTTTTTTTTTACGTCGACTCTGTCTTTACTTTTTTATTTTTTTCTTTGTATGATGTAGATATTTACATCGTTTCATCCGTGTGGTACGGCAAAGATGGCACCGGAAGAGAAAGGGGGAGTAGTAGATCATAAATTACGTGTGTATGGATGCGAAAATTTACGTGTGGTTGATGCTTCAATTTTCCCAACCATACCTGCTGGTAATACCAATGCGCCTACTGGTATGGTTGCCTGGAGAGCGAGTAGATTAATCGAAGATGATTATAAATTCAAATTATCGTCTTAGAAGGTAATGTTTTCTTTCTTTAACGGGCTATCAAGGAGTTTTTTGTACATGTGGATGCTATCAACAAAGAACTTTAGCGAATGATCAACATAACATTGATCTTTATATGGTAATTTTAATATACGGTCTTCCGTTTTCAGAAAAATTAAACGCAGTTGTGTTTGTGTTACCGACTTTTCCTTGTCTTTTTTTAAAAAAGCCTAATAAACCAGTTTTCCAAATAAGGAGATTTTATAGATTTAATTTTTTTTTTTGATTGGCTAGTTTGGGCTTTGTTTAGTGAATGCAAAAGTGATTAACATTCTTTTGTTCTTAAAAAAAAAACATATCCTTTGTGTGAAATTAAATTTGAACCACTAATTTTTAATCTTAATTATCTTAATTACAAAGAAATATGAATAATTTTTAAAGTTATGAAATTCGTGTAAGCAAAATAGTAAACAAAAGATTTTTTTCTATTTATATTCCTTTTTGAAAATTTTTTAATAAATACAAGGAAAAAAAACTATTGTCTCTGGCAAAAACAATCCAAAAAAATTTGTTTTTTTTTTAAGGATAAAAAAACAAAAATCAATTGCATTCTTTACAAAAAAAATAAGTAATATTAAAAACGAAACAATCCATTATCATATCTGAATTTGCCCTTTTTTAGAAATAAATAACATTTCCAAAATGCCATCGTTAGATATTGAAATGGAACCTATGATAATTACCGAAGGTGGTAATGAAAAAACCCCATTATTACCCATTGTAAAAACCTATGTTATTACAACCCCCAAATCCTCTAAAAAACCAGCCATTTCCAAATTAACACCTTATCTTCCCGAAAAAACTTTACCATACATAAATAGTTTAAGTAATTCGATAAATCAAATTCGAAACAAATTACCCCCCTTATCCGCTATACCTATTCGTACCATTCGTGGTAGATGTTCAAGGAAAAGGCTATTAGTTTTTAGCATTTTATTACAATTATTTTTTTTGTACAGATACGTTAATGGAGGACCATTCCTTCCATTATCGTGCCAATTGATTAACATTGGATGTCCATCGACTGTCATCAATGGATTTACGACCAAGGAATTTTCAAATGTTCAACAAATATTCTTGAAAAACTTTGAAAGTGGACAAGATATTGGGGCACAAGTTAGCGTTTATTATAATAATGAATTGGTCGTTGATTTATCTGGTGGAATCGCTGATACTTCCTCAGGAAAACTTTATGATGAAAAAACATTGCAATTAGTATTTTCTAGTACAAAAGTACTTAGTGGTATCGTTATAGCAAGATTGGTCGAACAAGGTTTATTAGATTATGATACACCAATCGCCGAATATTGGCCCGAATTCGCTCAAGGTGGAAAAGAGGACGTTACCCTTTTGGATTTAATGGTACATAGAGCCGGTGTAGGTTTTATCGACTCTTTTGATATTTCAATTAAAGATTTATATAATCTTGATGATTTCTCGGAAATGCTCGCAAAACAACCTCATAATTTCGATGGTAAACCAATAAGAGCGTATCATGGTATAACTCGTGGTTGGTACTTGAATGAAATCGTAAGGAGAGTTGATCCACGCCATCGTACTATCGGTAGGATCGTGGCCGAAGAAATCGCTCCACAATATAATATCGAATTTTATTTAAACACGAATAAGGCTCGTAAAGATCGTTTAGCAAGTATTTATGCTTACCCTTTGGTAAGAATGTTGTCTAAATTGATTTTACCTGAATGGATGATTAGCGAACCATTACATCCAATTTTCCCTCAAATGATGGATAAGAATTCCGTTGCCTTTAAATCTTTGGTATTAACTTCTCCCGATCGTGCTCAACCACAAGATTGGAATAAGTTGGAAATGTTAATTCCAGAAGGTCCTTCTTATAATGGTGTAACCAATTCTCGCTCCATGGCCAAACTCGCTGCCATTATGGCTAATAAGGGAGAAAGTTTTCCAACCGACAAACTTCCTCTTGATGTACAACAAAATTCTCAATTAAGGGAACCTCAATTACTTTCAAATACTACCTATGATTTAATTGCTACCCGTCTTAACCCTGTATTCGATCAAGTATTACAAGAGACCATCACTCCATCTGTCGGTGGTTTTGGTTATTTCCGTCTTAAAGGTTTAGAAGATGTTGAATTCTTAGGTTGGGGTGGTTCCGGTGGTAGTATGTTCTTATGGAATCAAGAATTAAAAATTGGTTTCTCTTATGTTATGAATGCTTTTCACACCGCTCTTCTCGGTGATGATAGAAGTCTTGAATTATTAAGAGAGGTTGTTGACGTTGTCAAACAACAACGACAACAAGAATAAGGAAAAGAGCAAGCATCTTTTTCTTTTTTTTTTAAATACTTTTAATAGAAAAAAAAATCTTTCATTGTATATTTTTACACACTCATTTTAGCATATTTGCATTTCATAATATTTTTTACACATTCATTTCAATCAATGTATACTATTTATTTTTTGCATTTTCATCATATAGAAATTCATTTTTTCATAGAATTTTATTTTCACATTCTTTTTCCCTTATTTGTACTTATTCTCCGCATCCTTTTTATTTATTCAAATGTATAATTTTTTATTTATTTTTCTTTTTTTTTGCAATTTAAAATTATATATAAAAACTTTCATTAAATGTACATGTAAATGGACGATTGCAAATAATATAATAAAAAATCTCGTGATTAATTATAAATTTCTTTCAGATTCTATATCACTTAATAAATTGTATGGTCACGTGTTAAAATTTAATTTATCAAACTTGGTCAATATATCTACGAAGTTATTCTGGATATTAAATCACGGATATTAAATCATAGATCTTAATGATACATCATATACACATGACCACCAAATATGATGAATTAGCATCATGTTTTTTCATTTAAATAACCGCGTGTTTTTCCTTTTCCTTTTTTTTTTTAGCAAAAGAAATTTTATTTCCTTCACATTTATATACTTGAATTATACTCGAATTCACCATCATGTATAATCCAAATTTCTTTGCCATTGCCTACTCAAAGTTTGCTGATAGGAATGATAATCCTGATATTGGTGTCCCGGTACATCAATTCTCTAAAATGTCAATCAACGAAGTTCCGGCATCTTTTCGTGATGCAAAAAATGAAATTGAAAACATCGAAGATTTTCAAGATATAAAACAAATCGTTGAAGATAAAATGTTGGTTCAAGAAGACGCAGTGCAGGATATAATTGATAATGATTATAATGATGATGGGAACAAAGATGAATCCATTAAAGAGTATGTTGTCGAAAAGGTGCTTAATCATAGGTTTAATGGCAAGGTATGTCCTTCATTATTCTAGACTTGAATTAAATTCTAATGGATTACTAAATGTTATCACATTGTTCTAGGGAAAACTACAATATCTATTGAAATGGGAAGGCTGGTCATCAGAATATAACACGTGGGAAGACCAAGAAAATGTGTAAGCATCATTTATCAATAATGCCAAATTGGTCGTTCTAATCTTTTAATGTCTTTGAAAATAAAAAATAAAAAATATATATCTGTTAGATTCGCTGATAAGTTGATTAGCCAATATTGGGAAGGAAAAGCGTCAATAAGGAACACGTCTTTATTTAGGAAAGAAAAATTTGGTTCATCCTTGAAGAGAATAGAAAGCGAGAATGATAGTGAGGATGAATTCATACAATCAAATGGTTTCAGTGATAATAAAAAAAGTCCAACGTCGGATTCTTCGGATAATAGTAATTCTCCAAAGTTGATCCGTCACCGCAATTATGGAATGATAAATCGAGTTAATAATGATCAGGAATCTTCTGATCGTTCCATTACTGTTGTAAGTTCAAAGGTTTCTCATCATGATAGAAAAGAACGAAATGCATGGGATAATGAAAAACAATGGGAAACCAAAACAACCTTACAATCAACTGCAAGAACATGTATACCAACTGCTACACAATCGATTGCTCATTCTCAAACTCAACAATTATATCCACCGCCTATATTCTTGCAAAGAATTGAACCGTCTTGGATGAAAAAGTTATTCGATCCCGAGATTCGTGAACCTAAAGAAAGCTTTGATTGGGATAAGGATTCGGTTAACGTAGAATTCCTTGAACTCGACGATCAGGGAAAAATAGTTGGATACCTCAATTGGTGTGTTAAAAAAGCTAATTTTTTTTATATTTTTTATATCCTATAATTGGAGTATAAGTTTACCAAATTGATCCTGTATTTAGGAAATCGGGAAGTAGATCCAGACACCTTCTCGAAGAACTTCACAATAAATGTCCTCGAAAGGTATTATTTATCATATAAAATCAATTTATTTTTAGCTAAATATATTTATTATTAACTTTGATATATTTCATTCTTATTAGATGCTCGAGTTTTATAAAGAAAATATTCGCTTTGAACTGCAAGATGAAAATAAGAATTATAATGCTCTTCAAAGATTCAATTCCGCACGACGTATTAAAACACGTTGGTGAATGAGAATCATTTATGATTGTTTTGTAAATTTTTACATTTTATAATTTTTATGGGGATTCATTTGACGTTTGTAGCTTAATCGTCACTTTTGAAGAACGAAAATGGATTTATATACTGTAATAGTAGTGAATGTATACAAATATTGTAACTTTATAGCGGTTTTTTTTTTCTTAAATAAATAGTGAAATTTGCTATAACATAAATTCATGCTATTTAAATTTTTTACAATGATAAAAATGTAAAAGGAGGAATGGAAGCATGAAAATCATGCCCGTCGGCTCCTAGGTTTTACATAGTAAAAATGATGGTTCCATCTCATCCAAAAAACCAATTTCATCTAATGTACTAATAAGCCCATCTATCTTCTTAATTTTCCTTTCATAAAACCCTTGAATTGTAACCTTATTAATCTTCCCCAAGTGCACGAATTTCCATTGCTACATGGAGGCACATTTCCTCCAAGTTTAAATTTTTTTCGGCCAGCTTTCTTCTCCTGCAAAGATCCCTTAATCCTCGATTCCATCCATTAATTTAATTCTTCAACTGTCAGACTAATACTTGTAGAAGCACTTGCACTTGCAATGTTATCGGACATGGCAAAAAAATGTGGTGAAAGTCCGAAAAAGAAAAAATTTGCTGATTAGGGGTCGCAGTATCTGTCACTACAAGTTACGTTTTACAATACTGTCAGATAAAAAAAAAAAGTGTCATTATGCAATATTTTTATTACAACTATTACCTAATTCAAATTGATTTGTAATCATATAAAATGGAAACGTGAATACCAAATATTAACCCCCGAATATCTGGTATTTTGATAGATAAGATTCGTTTCAACTTTATAAAAAGTATAAAAAATGAAATGATGGCAATTATCAAAAGCTGTGATAAATATGTCAGCAAAACCTCAAAGTCTCTGATATTATAATTTTGCATTTGCTCAGCCGTGGGACTCAACATGCCCTATAGCAATATTACAAGCAATAAATTCAAGTTCTCGTTTGTAATATAGATTTATTTGCAAAGCATTTCATATAGATTTATTTTTTTTTTTTGTGTATTTATTTTTTTTCGCATTTCACATGATATATAAAAACTACGAAATCCCGAGACTGTGACGATATCAGAGTTTAGCACTTTTTTTTATATATATATAAAGTATTGTAAATCATGACTCTTGTAGCGATCTGCGACAACTTAACCCGTTTCTGCATTTTCTTGAGTTGTACAATTTGTATTACTAATTTCCTAAAAACAGAGATGTTCCCTATATATCAAGAGATAAAACGTCTCACTCGAGAGCTACCTGAAGAGAAATTTACTAAAATAATTGCTCACATTAGTTCGAATGTTATTCTTACAAATCAGGTGAATGATGCCCTGGCTCTCTTTGATACGGATGAAAAAAAACGTAATTACTTGGTAACTTTTTCAGAAACTCTTGGAGCTGGTATGCTTTCACACAAAAGTGTAGACTTAAATTTTCGTCTTTCTCTGTCATATTTGTCAAGAATAACGAATACTCACCTAATTTTGTGCTTTTTTTCCTGCTTCTTATCGTCAAATCCGCCCAAAAAACACATTCGCTATATTGTAGAGCAAGTTGTTGGAGAGAAAGAGAGAGAAATAGAGAGAGAGAGAGAAAGAGAAAGAGAGAGAAAAAGAGAAATAGAGAGGGAGAGAGAAAGAGAAAGAGAGAGAGAAAGAGACAGAGAGAGAGAAAGAGAAAGAGAGAGAGAAATAGAGAGAGAGAGAGAAAGAGAAAGAGAGAGAGAAATAGAGAGAAAGAGAGAGAGAGAGAGAAGAGAGAGAGAGAGAAAGAGAAAAAGAAAGAGAAGAGAGAGAGAAAGAAAGAGAGAGTACGAGAATTGCCACCGGTAAGTGAGTCATAATAAATTAGTCCCTTTTTTATAGCTGTTTTTATAATTTTTTCCATTTTTGGTCAATTAACTCATATCTATGTTAAATAACAGACGATTTGAAAAGTTCAATCAAAAATATTGAGGAAAAATTAGGAGATATATATGAATTATCAGCACGTTTCAAAATATCCAAGATACAAGAAACTCACTATGCTTCAAAATTTGAAGTTTTTGACCTTAACGGATTAGTTAGACTTGCGTTACTACGAAAGCAATTTCCATCTGAAAATGCATATTATGATTCTCAAGTATATGTACTATTATTTCATATTAATAAACTTGCGAATTATATTTACGTAAATGGATATAAAATATTATGGGTTTTTTACAGTTTCATTTAATGTAAGTTTACACTTCTTATAGAATAAAGGTATGCGAAAAAAGCTTGGAGAATCAATAGAATACATCCGCCAATTATCAAATGATAAGAATTATAACAAAAACCTTCACGAACTTACAGAAAAAGCAGATTTGGCACTTAAACAATGGACTAATTATGAAGGTAATTATTAGTGACTATTTTTGAAATATCAAAAAAAAACGTAACTTTAGTCTTAATATATCCAATTAGGTACTGCTAAATCAAACGAAAAATGCCTATATCTAGCAAATACGTCTGAGTTGAGCATTATGCTTATGACGGCATATGTGTTAGACGCAAAAATAGCCATTGAAAATAATCAGGCATTTATATATATATTTTTTTTAAGAATCAATTTGAAATTGGATATAATAAGTACACTGACCCTCATCTATTTATATTTTTTTAGGCTCTTTTTAATTGTTGTCTAGATATTGATTTGCATGGAAGAATCTCAGGTTCCAATATTGCAAATATAACAGTTGAACTAGGAGAAATTAAATCTTCAAATGTCTCTAAGGTAATAAAAAAAGGCTATCGTCAACTCTTATTGAGGTTGGCTGTGATCAGCTATGTGATTGAAGTATGTTCTGATGAAAAAGAAATGCTCAAATTTAATTTGTTCGGAAAGGTATATGTGCCAAAAATAGACTCTAACTTAAAAATCCCATCTGAAATATGGAATGAGAGCATTAATTTCTCCAGTTCTGCTAATTATCATATAGATGTTATCACCATAGGAGAGAAATAATGGATTATTTGATAACATTGTATTTCACACTAATCTATGTATTAGGATGGTTGTGTGACAAAACTCTTATATAAGTCAAATTGTATCAAAATTGTAAGTTTTTAATGTCACGTGATCAATATCGACATTTCCGCTTTAAATAATTATTTTAAACTATTTTAAATCTCTTTGAGTAATTAATAAAAAATTTTCTCTGCAAGAAAAGTGTATTAAAATTTATACAGAACATTTTTTAGTTGATGGCGTAGAATAGTTAAACAGTTATTCAGACCAGATCTGCAGTTATAAATTTGAATGTCACTAACCTAACTTCTTCCTTTCAAGTTTACTTATAAATCTTGTCGTTGTTTCCTACAATGACTGACATCGTTAGCATTATTGAACGGGTCATTTAATTGGAGCTAAGCGACTATAAGCATATACAGAAGCCGCTGAGAGTCACTTGAAGTTGAAGAACATTTTGGATAGGGATGTGATTTTGCTTTAACATAATATAATATTTAAACTCATCATGCTTAAAATTGAATTCGAAATCAATTTATGAGCTAATTTATTTATTTGACTTTAAATTGAATTTTCGCTTATGATTCTGACTAGATGATTCAGATTTGGGTTTTTGTTGTCATCTGTATCAGTCCTATATTCACCATTTGTATTTAGTTGTAATGATATCGCACACTTCATCGATTTATTGTTCTTCTTAATCTACAAGATTGTATGAGGAAAAAGAAATCAGATATGAAATTCTGAATCATGAAAAATACAGCTCCACCAACAGCACGCAGTGGCTAATTGGCATAGTAACTGCTAGTGAGAAAAAATGGCTCAGTCATGAACGAATGGTAGAACCGACAATCATTTGTGAATGCACCCCTTGCCGGCAAAAGTTGGATCTCACTAACAGAGTATGTTCATTCTAGGACAAGATGGTAAAATATATAGAAGGACAATAGGCCGCCCTCTGTATATCAGGTCTGGTTACCTAACTGGAAGCTTTTGTAACCCCGCGTTGTGCTTCCGGTTCTATATATTATACCAGTTTGCACAAAAAACACTGACCTCCTGCAACTTTTCTGAAATTTTACCAATTCATTCTTTCTTTGCTATTTTATAAAATACCTGAAGAAGGACGCTGATATCTTCATCCAAAGAATTGTAACACTCATCAATTGTTGTATAGTGATTTTGCTTGCAATAGTATTCTTTCCAAATTGAGAGATTTCTCTAATATGTATATTATCGTAACCAATACTTTGAGGAGAACGTGCATGCAAAAAGAATCAGTTTATTAAGTAATGTATTAAGCAATGTATTGTATAAGATAGAAACTTATAAAGACATTTAAGCTTTTCAATATTTTTTCAGAGAGGCAAACATAAATGAATATAATCAAATAAGCAAACGCAGGAGAGAGAGCGCTAAAGAATACATAGTAATATAATAGTAATATATTCTGATATAACGAAATAGTAATATACTCTAATAAATTTTAAGGATACAATTTAATTTTTGAATTCTGATTTGATGAAAATTTATTTACTTATGTTGAATATGTATAAAAAGAATTTAAGATAAAATTAATAAAAATAAAATGATAATAATTTTTAATATAAATAAAACAATTAATTTTGGGAAACGCAAATAAAAAATAAAATTATTAGATACTTATGGTTAGAGCTGAAACATAGATGCTTGTCAAAACCTTTTCAAAATAATTTCATCATACTCTTTTCTATGTTTTATATATTTTTAAACAGTTTTAACTTTCGTCATATTAAAAGAATTTCGTCATATTCCTTATTATGATTTTAATATAGTTTTGTCTGAGTTTAGACTATTATTAAGAGGTTTTATTCCTATCAGATTTTGTTTAAAAAAAAGTGATGAAATAACAATATATATAAAAAAATTTATAAAAAGAAAAAAATCTAGGTAATTGTATCAATTTAAAATTTTATTTAAAAATTTTCTTTGCCTAGCTTAACCATATAACAATTATATTTCATTTCAAATTTCATCAAAATGCTTATTGTATATGTAAAAATAAGTTATAATTCTAAAGTTTTAAAAGGTTAGAAAGGTTTACCTATTGAGAAAAAAATAAAAATAAAAGATTTTTTTTGAAAATATATCAATTCTATATTTATCACCTAATTAGTATGAAGCAAATTTTAAAGTAAAGTTTAACTTATTAAAACATTAGTTAAAAAAAAATTTTAGCATAATGTATTACTTAGGAAGCTAAAACTAATAAGTTATAAGAAAAAAATTATATATATCAATAATATAATAAAGCTTTAATCTACAAATAAAATTATATTTTATAAATTACATAACAAACTTTTTATATATAAACTTTTTTTTAAAATTTAAAAAAAGTGATCCAGTTAGGTAATATAACTAAAAATTAAAGTTATATAGTCTAAGCTAAAACTATGCATATAATATTTGTTATATCATATACTATGCTAATTATATTAATTAATCTTGTATCATGTAAATAAAATGTTAATCTTTTACATAATTAATTATGCTAACTTACAGATTCATGTATTTGTATAATTTCACATAATACATATATTGCATTTTTATCATTTTTTGTATTTTTTACTTAATTTTTATGTATTTACTATTTTAAGAATAAAAATTTCTATATATTTTTTTATAAAATGATCTTGTATTAAAGAGATTATCAATAAATTTTTATTTAAAATTCATTTTCATTTAAAAAATAAGAAATTAAATTGTAAATTTTGTAATCATATAATTAATCATGAATATAAGTCTGTTAATAAAATTTCATATAAACTCATTAACTCATTTAAAAAGAAAAAAGAAATATATAAAAGTATTAAACTTTCAAATTTATTAAATATTGATTAATTTATATATAATTATCTATTTTGAAAATTAATATTGAATGCAATTTTTTTAATTATAAAAGAATTTTAGATAATAGATATAGATCACTTTTAAAAAATTCTATTGAAATATTAAATTTTTATATTATAATAATTATATTATATTTAAAATGCACATTTTTTATTTTTGCATTATATAAATCTGTAAGCTTAATTTTAAATATTCTACTTATTTCTATTATTTAATTAATATTTTGCAAAATTAATTAATATAATAAACTAGTAATACAAAATATAAACAACCATTAATATTATTTAAATTTGTTTTATTAAATCTTTAAATTATGATATTATAAATTTCAAAATAAAAGAATTGAATTATAAATAAAAAAAAAAATTAAAAATAAAATAAAATTGATTTTTTTTAAAAAAAAAAAGAAGAATTTATATATATATATATATAATTATTATTACACTTTTATGAATTTAATTTTTCAAATTAAAAAAAAATATATTTTTTTTATTTTTATTAAAATAAAATAATTAAAAAATAAAAAAATATTTTTTTAAATAAAAATAAATTTATATATTAATATTAAATTAAAAATTAATTTAATAGCATATAAAAAATAAAAAAAAATAAACTGTAAAATATTGATAATGATAATAGTAATATATAATATTTTAAATAGTTTATTTTAATTAAATTATAAGTTTAATTAGTTCAGATTATTAATCTTAAAAATATTAATTTGAATCTAAATTAAATTATGAACTAAAAATCTAAAACTAAACTGAAATTTTAATTAATCTAAAAATTTAGTTTATTTAAAACAGTTTTTATCATTTATTTTAAATTATATTTTTATAATTCTAATTAAATGATTTTTTATTATTTATTTGAAATAATATTTCTTATTATTCGTTTAAACTAACCATTTATAATTTCAGATTAATTTAAAATTTTCAGATCAATTCAGATTTTTTTAATTTAGATTAAATTTATAATCTGAAAAAATATTTAAATAAATCTGAAAATTTTTGGATTTATTTTTATATAATCTAAAATTAAACTAAAATTGATTTAAATCAAAAATTTTTAAGTTAATCTAAACTATTCAAAACTTTAATAATATAATTATAAATAAAATAAAATTAAAATTAATATA